TCCATCTAGCTTCCGCCAGGAACAGTCTGCCCATCATAACCACTGTTGTCTCAAATTCTTGCTTTGTTGGTGAAGCTCTGTCTATTTAGGACCAAGTCAGAGTATCTGAGAACAGTAATTGAGTGGCTGTGTTCTATCCTTTATGGCAAGAATCTGTGCCCAGAACAGTGCCTAGCATCCAGTGTCCACATAATAAACATTTTGGATGAATGGTTTATTTTATACCCCTCAGAAATTTTCAGTGTGTATTTCTGCTTATGTCATTTTAGTGTACTTACCCTTTCCTCTTTCTCATTTTCTACAACTACAGACAGTATACTTTTGTTGGTTTTCTTCTTCTATTTATTGTTTCTTGGTGGACTTACTATATCCTCTTTTTTAAACCACTACATTAAATTCCATTATGTGGGTGTACCATGAATTAATCAGTCCCCTTTAGCTTTCTTTTCTAAGTCTAGGTAAGAGCAGGGGTGGATGTGTGGAGAGGTGGGTGGGCAGCCAGCCAGAAGGAGACCTCTGTACCGACACACACAGTTGGCACAAGTGGGTCCCAGGCTCTTCTGCCATCCTTGGGGGTTATGGATGGATAGCCCAGTCGGGAATTCCTGAGCTGACATTTACTGTTTGTCACCTGTGTGACCTTCAGCAAATTAGTTATTGGACCCCTTGGAGCGCTGAATTCTTTGCAAGTTGAGAATAATACCACCTCATGGTATTAGAGGATGTTTATAAGTTGCTTATTTATCTCATGTCTATGTAATAATACCTCATGTATTTATAATAGCACCTCATATGCATATGTATTCAGTCTGGTTGCTGGTCATTTCTGTAAAAAGTTGAGGAAAAGAGGCCCTCAGGGATGACTGTAACCCCATTACGATGCTCCCCTGAGAAAACTGGGTTGGAGTCATCACCATTTTAACTGAAAATACACTTTCCAGGAACAAAATGACTAGTAAATTTGAGGCATTTGTAAATCAAATCCATCTTAAGTGCATTAGGGGGCTGGCTTTCTGTTTAAGTATATTCCATGTTCCTATTAGTTTTTCCTACCTTTGTTAAATTGCTATAGATGTAATATAATTCATCAGACTATTCTGATGTTAGACAATCAAGTTACTTCTCAGCCAATACAGAGAAATAATGGGGAACATCTATAAGTTATAAGTATAAAGCTCTTGGTTTCTATTCAATTATTGGCTTAGAGTTAATTCCTGAGGAATTTCCAAGCAAAGGATGGGAATCTATCTCTTTGTGGTGTTTGCTATGTGTTGCAATACTACTTTCTGAAAATGGTATGTTCCATTGCCTCTAGAAGGGCATGAATCAGTCAGTTTCAGAGCAGCCTTCCCAGTGGTGGGTAATACCTTTTAAAAATCCATTGGTTTCTTTATTAGCTGTTAGATGGTAGGTCAGTGGTATGTCAAGACAGTTCTACTTTGCATTTTAAAAATTCCTAAAAGAGTGAATATTGAATACTCTATTTCTCCTATACATATTGTATTCATGTCATTCAACAGTTGTCTGTAGGGGTCTTGCTGGATATATTTGGATTTGTTGATAGATAGACCTCTGTGGTATTCTTGCCATTTAATAGGAAAGTAATTGGAAGGAAATAAATCCAGATTGTGAAATATCCCATAAGACATCATCCTAGACTCTTCATTAATGTATCATAAAAAGTAAAAAAGTCAAGAAAACTGTTCCAGATTAAGGAGACTAGAGAGAGAGATATGGGGGCAGCCGAATGCAGTGCTTGAGCTCTCATTAGTTCATGGGTTAAAAATGTTTAAACAACTGTAAAGGGCATTTGGGGGAAATTGGAGAAATTGGAATATGAACTATATATCAGTGTTATATCAGTGTTCAATTTCTTGACTCTGATATTGTGGTTATGTAGGAGAATGTCTTTGTTCTTGGGAGATAAAGGCTACAATATTTAAAGTGAAGTGTCAGAATATTTGCAACTTTCAAATGGTTCAACAAAAACTCTTAAGTGTTTATATCATGTATATTATTAAAATGTTAATATAATTGCATTAATTATATATTATAATTGTAATATACTATATTTTCATGAAAAATATGTTAACATACTAAGTTATGTGTGTATATAATATAAATTATATTTAATATATATTAGTATATTATACACACATAGATACATTTATAATACACAATGTATTACCCCTGCCCCATGGGAGCTGCAGTTTAGAGATGCTTCACAGCGGTGGGAAATACTGAAGGGATCAGTTTCTAGTGGCTCCAGGCCCCAGCACGGAGGTTCTCTCTGGGGCTGAGGAGGCCTGAGTTCCCCTCCTCACATGACCTAGGCTATTCCTTCTTTGTGTGGGGGTGACAGGCACAAAGATGCTCTGGTGGAACCCTTGGCTCCTTTGTCCCAAGGAATGTAGAATGCGGGTGTTTTCACCAGCCAAGGGCCCTACCCGCTTCCGCCTATTGCTTGTCCTCTGCACGTGGTGGCATGGGAGGAGCTCATTGGAGCATGGCACTGACCTATGGTGTTCTTTTCCTATAGCCTCTGTTGGCTAATCTTTTGACACAGAATCTGAGTTAAAAGGTGGTGCAGATGTCCTTGGGGCAGGAGTCACAGTATCCTTTGGGAAAGTTCAGTCAGACTCAGACTTAGCGACAGTTACCTTTGGCTTCTGTCTAACCTGCCCCCAAGGCCCTCTCCTCACCTCACCTGCCTCAACTTCAGGCAATCTCTCCAGGTATCAGTGCACCCCACCAAGAGATCTTTCAAAGTAAATCTAATTAAATTAACTGGTTGTTTAATTAACCTATTAAATCAATGTACACTCAGTTTAGAATATTCAGTCTGGTTGCTGGTCATCTCTGTAAAAAGTTGAGGAAAAGAGGCCCTCAGGGATGACTGTAACCCCATTACAATGCTCCCCTGAGAAAACTGGGTTAGAGTCATCACCATTTTAACTGAAAATACACTTTCCAGGAACAAAATGACTAGTAAATTTGAGGCTTTTGTAAATCAAATCCATCTTAAGTGCATTAGGGGGCTGGCTTTCTGTTTAAGTATATTCCATGGCTAATCCTTCTGGGAGGGAAATTGGAAGGATACCTTTTACAAAGATAATCCCCATCCTTTGGCCCCAGCTGCCCAGGGCTGGGGTTTCTGATTTAGATTTTTGTAAATCAGGTTTGTATCAAATAAGGGCTACTGAATAGATTTGTTTCTTAAACTACCACATTTCTTCCTGCTTTTATTAGAATGGTAGAGTATTCTAAATGTAGTGAAAAGTATGGAACGCAATGAAAAACACCTACAGTTACACAATTGAGTGATTACGATTGCCATATTTCTGTGTGTGTGTGTGTGTACTTGCACACTATTAAACAACTCTCATCTTCCTTTAAGATTTTGTCATGGACGTCAGATGTAAGGGATAATTTGGAGTGTATTTTTAAGCTGTGCCACTGCAGGTGACTTTCCAGGGCCTGCACTGCTCCTAGGAGCCTGGCAGGAGAACCTGAGCCTGTCTACCCTGTCCTTAGGAGCCACAGGCAACTCAGCTCTTCCACCAAGGAGCCACTCAGATGAGATCTTTGGGGTCTTGCTGTGGAGAGGGTGGGCTGTCCCGCAGAGCAGTGTGTGGACGGTAGAATTTCAGTTCTTCCCTACTCTCTGGGTTAGAATGTGGGTTCTACCACTTAATAGCTGTGTTAACGGGAATGGGTTACTTAAACTCTCTATTCCTCAGTTTGCACACCTGTAGAATGGAGATACTGTTGGTACCCTGCAAGAAGGGATTCTGTGAGAACCTGCCACAGACGAAGCCCTCAATAGACGTTAGCCATTGTCATCATTATGTTAGTCCAATTGGGCTCCCATAATAAAACACTGTACCAATTTTAGTTGCTTAAACAGCAGAAATGTATTTCTTATAGTTCTGTAGGCTGAGCATCTGAGATGAGGGTGCCAGCATGGTTGGGTGAGGGCCTCTCCCTGGGTTATAGTCGCCTTGTTGTTGTGTCCTCAGATGGTGGAGAGAGAGTGTGGTCTCTTCCTGTTCTTTAAGGGCACTAACCCCATCATGGAAACTCTACCCTCCTGGCCGCATCTAAACCCAATTACCTCCCAAAGGCACTGCCTTCAGATACCATCACACTGAGGTTGGCACTTCAACATAGGAATTCGTTGGGTAGTGGGGTGGCGGGGGCTTGGATACATTTAGCTCGTAACAATCATCACAATCATTGTTGCTGCCATCTGCTTAGCCCCCTTGCAGGGCATTCTTGTTTGGAGCGACCTCTGAGGTGGAAGGAAGGAAGAAATGAGAAAGGTCCTTTGTCTCCAGTAGGGTCTTAAAGTCCATGGCAGTGGGTCTTGAGCCTTCTAGAAACTGCTTTCACAGTGCTCTATTTCTGTCTCTTTTTGACCTATAGATAAAGGCTCCTTTTGACTTTTGTGAAAAGGCTCTTTCTTGTCCTGGTCTAGATAAGAGGGAGAAGGAAGACAAGTCAGATTTATTAGAATACTACTTTTCTGAGCCAGGCAGCTGGATGCAGAGGGAGGCACAGTGCCCTGTGGGGTCAGCACTGGTATGCCCTGTCACAGAGGGTGACTCCCTCAGTGCTCAGGGTGAGGAAACACTGGCTGTCAAAGGTGTCACACTGCTTGGAGCTTGCAGTAAGATTTGAACCTTGAGCCTTTTGACCCTACATCCTTGCAATGTGCAGCTGGTATGGGGAGGAATGGAGCCACCTCCCCGGGGCAGAACTGGGATTAGGATGGATTTTAAGGGCGCTGCTGGCACAGGACAGGAAAAGACCTGGTCTGGGCCTTCCCACCTGTGTGGTGCTTGCTGACTGGAGACCCCAGTGTCCCTCTGCCAGCAGAGGCTGCCTCCGCACCCCTCTCATCTCCAAACACTTAGGATGGAGTAGCTCTCCCACAGGAGGTCAACTATCAAGGTGCGCTAACCCAGACTGTTTTCTTCTCTGCTCTTGTCCTTCCCCAGCCCCTAAAGACAATGAGGAGCGTGTGTTCAGGGAGCGCATGCGGCCCAGGAAGCGGCAGGGGGCCGTCAGGCGCAGGGTCCACCAGGTCAACGGCCACAAGTTCATGGCCACCTACCTTCGGCAGCCCACCTACTGCTCCCACTGCAGAGATTTCATCTGGTAAGGCCCTTTCTCCCAGGAATCTCTGGTTATTATGCCTTCTCTGAAGCGAGAAGTCAGAGGTGCGTGCGGGAGATTAGAGACTTTATTTAAAAAGGGCGTGTGTGTTTTATTTAATTGCAGAAGACTTTTCTGGAAGGCTGAGTACTTGGTGCTTGGGGGTATAAATGGAAAGAAGAAACTATAGATCCTGGTGACTTTATTCTTAGGATCATATATTAAAGAGTTAAGATTTTATAACCAATAATGGTGTTGTTTGTTGTTTTTTTTTAAGAATCCATTTTTTTAGAAAGACAAACTGAATTATTTACAAATGTTGTCTGGGACTTGTTTAAAAATAATCTGGAAGGATAGGAGAGTGTCTACGGGTAGAGACAAAATGAGACCAGCCATGTATTGATCATTGTTGGAACTGGGTAACAGGTACATGAGGTTCTGTTATACTAATTTCTTTGTTTTTGTATACATTTGAATTTTTCTTTAATAAAGTTAAAAAAATACTTGATTGCCAATATATGTAATACAAAGCAGTTCTTAACTGTTATAACACTGGGGGTGCTAGGATGCTCAGATTTCAAGAGTGAAAGAGCAGCATTGGCTGGAGTATTCAGGGAAGGCTTCCTGGAGGAAATGGCATTTCTTTCATGATGGCTAGGATTTCAAAATAGATAGGTAGATAGTAGGCCTTTTTGAAAGGTAGAGGAAGATAAGGAGCACTGGCCTTGGAGATTGGAGGGGCACTTTAAGGCAGAAATAACACCCACTCCCATCCACAGACACATCTCATTCCAAGGGCCAACTGTGCCCTCTGACCTCCATTTTCTGTATTTTGGTCATGAATTGCATGTTTGGGAGAGGAAGCTCTGAAAGCTAAGTCTTACAGATTTAGGTCTCCTCCATGGTAAATACCACTGAGTTCCAAGTTTCCTGAGGTGTACCTGAATGGTGTCAGGCTCCTCCAGTTCCTGGGCTCAGAATTGCAGGGGCTCCCTGACTGGGTGTTGGTGTACTGAGGACAGGGCCCAGGTCAGGTGGGTTGGATCGTCTTGTGTCTATGTTGACCCTAACCCTGCCGTGGAAGGACCTCTAGTGTTGGCCTTCACCCAAAGGGTAGATTGAACCCCTAGTGCTGGCCACAGATTGATGTCTAACCCTTGACTGCTTCTGGAATGTCCAGGGCGTGTGCCTGCCTGCCTCCTCCACGGTTATCCACAAGGAAGGGGACATTGGATTAATCGAGGGCTGCCAAGAGTCTTTGTAGCTTTCCAGAACACTACTGGCCCCACTGGAATGGCTGTTTGTTTAGGAAACCAAGCCCTGACACTGACAAATCTTGCACCATTCCAAGTGCTGGGGCTGCCCTCTGTTGCCTTCTGGAGGAGTCATTTTAAGGCACCCTGTGTTGGGAGTGAAGTCACGCTGCTAGGTGGACTCCAATGTGCTCAGTGTATTGTGCATGGTGGTCAGAATGGGGTGGCTTTGTTTAAAAAATTTTAACCTAAAATTCACTTTCTTAAAGGGTTGTATTCTTCTTTTCAGGGGTGTCATAGGAAAGCAGGGATACCAATGTCAAGGTAAGAGGTATTGCATGAACTAAATCTTCAGGAACCCATGGGCCAATCCAGAATCCAGATCACTAATACTCGTAGGCATGGGCTGGGATCGATCACAGTTAGAGGTTCCATATCATTTGCATGCTTAGGTTCCTATCAGAAGCAGAGAGCCCTTGTGGGCAGCCCCTGTCTGCAGGTGTCCTGGGGGTCTCAGCCTTTTTATATGGCTGGGGCATGCAGAACTTCCATCTTTCCTGGGGGACATAACACTTCACACAGAGGCCCTTTGAGGATCCTGGTGTGCACTGAGCGCTTCTGTGTATCTGTCAGCTCCCTAACTCTCTTGCTCCCCAAAGAAGCTCTCTCGCCTGCTTGCTTTATTCACTATCATTGATGGTCCTGCTGACTCTTTTTTATCTCTACTGCAGAATCATTAGCTCTTAAACATTTAGAACTCACTTGAAGTTATTGAAGTTTGTTTTCAATTAATTGGAGAATTGGAGGTTGGAATGTGATGTGGTCATGTCAAGATTTCTCTGTGGCTAGAACTGGGGGACCATTCTATCTCCTCACCCAGCCCATGGGTAATATTGGTCTCACCCCTGGGGGCCCTGGGGTAGGTTCTCTTGAACATTGCTGAGTCCTTAGGATAGCATGTGTGCAAACAGTTACTTACCTCCTCAGCCACCTACTGCCCATATTGCCCCATGACACTAAAGACAGAGCCTTCGGCCACTTCTTGTGGAGATAGTAAGTGGAAATACTTTAGTTTGGCATGTAAGGCACAACCAGATCGAAAAGCTTAAGACCTTCTGTGCCACAAAACCTCCGCTGCCCTGCTGCAATCCTGCCTGTCGCTCCCACCAACCCTGTAGTCCTGAGCCGAGCACAAGGTGGCTGCACCTCCTTTCATAGACATCGCTTCATGGAACAGAAGTTGTTCTCTGACCTTGGCATATAGAAGCAAGAAAATTGATCAGTATTCCTGGAACTAGAGAAAACTGCTGATGTCCTTTGGGTATAAATGGTTCCTTCTCCAGAGCATTTAGGAAACCCTAATGGCTCTGATGGCAAAGTGCTTTGAAATAACTGCATAAAGGGCTTCGATGAGGGTGGTTGGTACATTGAAACTCAGTGAGCTCCCCTCCTGCCGCCACTGAGGCCTGATTAAATCTTGGCGTGGAACCTTTCTTCCCCCACTTGTTGCTCAGCCTTCCCATTTTTTGCTGTTTGCAGTTTGCACTTGCGTTGTCCACAAGCGATGCCATGAGCTCATAATTACGAAGTGTGCTGGATTAAAGAAACAGGAAACTCCTGACGAGGTAAATATTTATAACATTGACGTTCTTCACAGGCATTCCCACCCTCCACTGCCTCCTCTGCGTCCGTAAGAAAAACCTTATCTCTCTCCGACGCCATTGCTTTCTTCATTGTGTTGATCAAAAATGGAGGGAGTTGTCCATGACCTTCCGGCAGGAAGCACCATCTACCGAGTGAGCATGGCTCAAAGTCAGTTTTTTGTCAGTGGATATTATGCCAGGAGCTGAGTGATCCCGGAGCTAAAGCCAGCAAGGAAAATGTGAATTCTTTTATGTTATTATCTCATTGGAACAGTGAAGTGGCTAACTGACATGTCAGTGGCTCCACACAGCTCATAAACAGTGAGAGACACATACACACAAGCAGGCACCTTCTCTTAATGAGGCGATGGGGTAATGGGGTGGAATTGGAAAACCCAAGAAACAGGAGGAGGAAATAACCACAATAATAATAATAGCTGCCATGATTTAAGCACTTTAGCATATATTATTTAATCCCATAAAAACTTCAATGAGATTCATGTTGTTATCATCTTCATTTACAACATGGGGCACAGAAGCACAGAGAGGTCACATTAACTTACCCCAAATCTCACAGCTAGTATGTGAAAAAGCCCCGCTGAAGCCCAGGTGTCTGTTCCAGGGTCTAAGCCCTTGACTCCTGCACTATGTTGTCTCTTAATCTTACAAACTATTGTCAGATTGACTATTAAGGAACTTGCTAGGGGTAAGAAAGCAAGAAAATTAACAGTGAAGCTAGGTTTCTCCTAACTGAGTCGTTGGGGAATGGTGTGAATGTGAGTGTCAGTGTTACCAGTGTTCATGGTAGTTGATTTCTAAGGCATGTTTTTAATTCTCAGTGAAATAAATACTGTACAATCATATGCCATTAGAATTGGGGCTCAAAGAGAGAGGCCCTGGGAGGATTTCTAATGAAGTGGATTTATAATTTGGCTTCCAAAAGGAGTGACACACAGAGGCCTTCAACTTCTTAGAAATCAACCAAATGGCATCTTGGCATTCAAAGTATTTACCATATTTTATATCCTTTTGCTTTCATATCATCTCGGGAAAGCAGCAAACCACAAAGCTCAGACTGAACCTTCCATGATGCTGAAGGGCAGAGAGCCCGACCACCAGAGGGGTTTGCAGGGTTCTCCTGTCATGGTTCAAGTGGCGGGTCATCACCACCTGGGTCTCATGACTGCTGGCCTAGGATCATAGCCAGAGTATACTGTTACTGTCATTACTTTTACAGGAAAATGAAAGAAAGATGGCTTGTTTGCTGTCTATCTTTATTCCTGCCTGTGAACATTCCATTGAGTGTTTGTCGGCACTTCCCATGTCAGATATTGCACCAGGTCCCACGGAAACAGGAATACATGACTCCTCCCCTCTGTGATCTCTGCAGGTTTCTAAAGCTGTTTCATATTTCTTTGGAGGAAAAAGTTCCATATAAGTTCATGTCATGCAGGTTAGAGGCTTGAGATTTGAAATACCCATAACCCAGTTTAAACTGTGACCTAATTCTTTTGTCTTTCCTGGCATATTGAGCAGTGAGAAGAAGTTACCAGGGAGGTGTGTTCCCAAACTTGAAAAGTTCCATATAAGTTCATGTCATGCAGGTTAGAGGCTTGAGATTTGAAATACCCATAACCCAGTTTAAACTGTGACCTAATTCTTTTGTCTTTCCTGGCATATTGAGCAGTGAGAAGAAGTTACCAGGGAGGTGTGTTCCCAAACTTGGCATGTGTCCCCAGGGTAAATTGCCATGGATTGGAGAAGGGGACTTCGGGTTTCTTAGCTCGGCAGAATGATTGCCCATCCTGTGTTGTCAAGGCCAGTCTGCTTTAGCACTGGTGTCCCCCTGAGCCATCTGGGAGATGGACGTGCCCTCTGCTGGGTACAGCACTGCTGGGGACCAGTGTTTGAATTCCTTTTTTGTGTAACCACCCGCAGTATGATGTACCTGCACATATACATCATACATACATAAACACCCCCAACACACAGCTCTAAATACCATGTTTCTGACGTCTTCCTATTAAAAGGTGCTTTGTCAACAGGCTCCTTGTAACCTTTGTGCCATGAGCACCTGGCCGATGGGCTTTTCCTGTCTTGCGTGTGTGTGTGTGTGTGTGTGTGTGTGTGTGTGTGTGTGTTAGTGCTTAGGATGTACAGCCCTCCCCATTCCTCTTGGGGTGGTGACCAAGGAATGCTCTCTGGGTCCCCCTCCCTTCCTCATTTCTTCTTTTTTTAAACTTCCAATTTTTCTTCCTCCCTGTGTACTCTGGGTTGGTCTAACTCACTCCTCTGTTTCTAAGCCTTCCTTGGTTAGAGTGGTGGGTGCCCCTGCGTGCATGTGGCCCTGGTGTCTGTCACACAGTCTGTCTGATTTCTGTGGCATCCTCTTGCATTGCTCACCCTTCTCCCACCATTCTCTGATAGCTTTGAGTCCTTAGTGGGTGCAGCTGAGGGTCACACACGTCTCCCTGCTGCACACAGCATCTCCTGGGTGCCTGGGACACTTTCCCACCCCTTCACCTTTGTCTGCCGTCCATATCCCTTAAAGCTCTTCCTGGAATACCACTACTGTATTCTCAGTTTAGGTCAGCCATGTCTTCAGCATTTGCAGAAATGGAGTGGGCACAATGATCTCCTATGTCCTTCAGGGTGAGCAGGTAGATAGAGAATTGACCTGACTGTATTCACATATAGACACATCTAAGCCATGAATATAAGAAGGGGTGCGCACAATTGTTTTCCTTAAGTCTGGGAATCTTGGACTGGGGTAGGAGCTTAATTGACGGCCCATGCAGGAGTCAGTAAAATTCCCTTCCAGTGGACGGATCAGCCGTTCCTTGTTGCTGGGTGATAGGGAACCTGTTATAAAGTTGAGTGACCTTGAGCAGAAGCCTGCACCCAGGCATGCCTCTGTGTTTGTGTCCCGTCCACATTCCGCTCTCACTCCCACTTCTCAGTCCTGCCCTGGAGCCTTTCACTCGCCAGTTAGCTGTGAGCCCAGGACAGCTTCTTCGCTGCATGCTTTCCAGTTCCTGCTTCCCGGAGTAGCACGGGTGACTTTCTCCCCAGGCCACAGGGCTCTCAGGGGATGGTGCCCTGCCCATTCAGAGAGGGGCCTGGCCAGTACAGCTGCTGCACCAGAGACACATGGACAGTAGCTCTGGAGGGAGCCCAGGAAGGTAGACCATACCGACGACCCATTGCTTCTGTGGAACATTTAATGCTTCTTGCTTCTTCCACCCCAGGAGTCTCATCCACCCCAGCAATCCTGTGACATTGGGTGGGATGGGTCCTGTCCTCATTTGCCAGAGAAGGAATCAGAAGTGTCAGGTAGTCAGCAGACTGCCTGAGACCTCACAGGGGGTTTGGGGAAGACCTAGGCCTCCAGATCAGATACCTGGTTCTTCTTCTCCCTCCTTTCTCCACCCATCTTGCCACCTTCTTTTTACTCCTTTTAAATAATCAGTAAGTGGCAGCATAGTTGTTAAAAGGTCTGGGCTCTGAATTCCAACTCATGGGCATCAGATCCTGATTCTGCCTCTCATCAACTTACCAGGCATGTTTCCTGATCTCAGGGTGCTGTAACTTCTCCACCTGTAAACTCAGGCTCCCAGTGGCGTCTACCCTGCAGGGTGGTGGTGAGGTGTAGCTGTGGTAGCAATGCTGGCCCATGACCAGCACCGAACCTTAGCACCCTTAGTGATCACAGCTCTGTGTTAGAAGTCTTCACTGTGATTAATGTTGGTTCTAACTGATGACTTACAGTTTCCACAGCTGTGTTGGGTTTTCAGGGTGTTTGTAGAATCCTGCGTCCACTGCCGAACGACTGTCTTGGCAAGGCTTCCAGGCACAAAGTAGCATTGAAAGTGCACGGTGACATCTCATTCATGGTGAAGTGCCAGGTACAGATTGAGTGCCATGCACGGTTCAAGTTGGAGACCTAAAGTCCTGGAGGGACTTGGCAGGGAGCAGATCTGGGCTTGCAAAGTCAAACAGAGCCACAGAGAATGGGAAAGGGCATCGGGGCAAAGACCCAAGGACAGGAGGGGTCTCTCTCTACCTTGTTTCTCCGGGCAGCTTTCAGAGCCATGCTAAGGCCTGCCACCGACAGAGACCATGCCTTCCTGGAAAGAAGTTCTGTAGCAGACCCAAAATGAGCACTCCAGGCTGCAAAGGAGCTTGGTGGTGACCCTGTGTTTTGCCATCCCTGCAGGTGGGCTCCCAGCGGTTCAGCGTCAACATGCCCCACAAGTTTGGCATCCACAACTACAAGGTGCCCACCTTCTGCGACCACTGCGGGTCCTTGCTCTGGGGCCTCCTGCGGCAGGGCTTGCAGTGCAAAGGTAAGGCACCCTGTGCGCTGCCCTCACCCCCCAGCACCCACACGCCCCTTTGTCTCCTCTTCTTAAAACTTCGTCTGTTCTCCAAGGGGACTTCAGAAGGGGAATGGCAGGGTGGAGGTACAATTCCACCTTTTAAGATAGTTAACTATCTAGGCAGACAAGATGAATTGATGAAAGTATACAAATAAGTTAAGGAAAAGATACATTGGAGCTGAAGGGAAGAAATATTTTTGGAATTAGGCCCTGAAATAAGTAATAGATATTTTTGTGTCATAATCCGTGGTTTAGTGCTTACTCTTGGAAGGAGCCAAGCTAGAACTCCATCACATGACATCTTAATGATCCTTCATAGGCCTGCAGGGGATTTCTCTGTGTGCCCAGTGAGGAAGCTGAGGCTCAGAGACCAGCTTGTTCCCATCACACAGCTTACTAGCAGAAAGAGTTTGTAGCTTGACTCCCGAGCCTCGGATTCCTTCCTCTTTCCTGCTGTCCTGCTTGTGAATGTCTTCTGCTCAGGGGGCACGCCAAGTGATGGGGGTAGCAGCACTTAGTATGGGGACGTCAGACATACTCTGGGGGTCTGACTGGATATCTTGGGTCAGAAGTTAGTCCATCTGTGCAGAGTTAGACAACCAGGCATCACTGGGCAGGAATAGTGTGTGGACATTACAAAAACAGTGCTCTAGTCTTTGTACCAAATGCATTGTCAATAAATTCTCACTGTGTGAAAATTATAAGAAGAGGTAAAGTGTAAGGAGAACTGAGGCCATGAACAAATTGGTCACTGGGGGCATCCCAGTGAGCC